CAACAAGAAGTCCAGAGAAGCGCAAACTTCGTCGTCAGCTTCTACTCCAACTCCGACGCGTATTGACGCTCGCCCGGACACCGCGCCTCCGAAGACATCTGGCACGCACGCATGGGACATCCAAGCAACAGTGTGTTAAACAACACAATAAGAGCAGGAGTCCTTGACAAGGACTCATTACTACTACTTGACGGTAGAGAACTTCAACGGGCACGAGGAACTTGCCTTACCTGCCCCAAAGCCGACTTACCACACCGACCGTTCACTCCTCATCACAACCCGAGCGCACCCGCGTACGCACCACTCGAGAAAGTGTACAGCGATATCCTCTTTAATCGAGAAGCAGGACAAGTTACATATAGCTACACGATCACCTTCATCGACGCCGCCACTCGATACGTCTGGCACCTAAACCTACCCAGCCGCGACATGGCACTCGCAACCTTCGCTGCCTAGCTACTAGTAGCAGAGAGAGAGTCGGGAGCACAACTGAATAGCTTCCAGTTAGACGGAGGGGGAGAATACACCTCTTAGCGGTTCAAGCAGTACCTGGCAGAAAGAGGAATCAAGCAGCTCCTCTCCCTTCCCTACGCCCATCAGCAGCAAGGTGTCGCAGAAAGAATGAAAAGGACTCTGCAGAACAGCATGCGCAAACTGTTACGTAGCATGCGACTACCCAACCACCAGTGGCCTGCAGCAATGGACCACGCTGTCATGCTGCACAACTTGATGTCGTCGTCCTCACTTCCGAACAACGCATCACCGCATCTGCTGTGGACAGGAAAACAGGGCAGCACAAAAATGTTACGAGTTTTCGAGTGGATGGTACAGTACCGACCCCTAGAAGCACGAGCGGGAAGATTTTCACAACGCGCACAGTGGGGACTACACCTCGGCATCGAAAAGAACTACAATGCATGGAAAATCTTCGACGTCCACTCCAAGGAAACAGTAGCAGCACGTGACGTAATCTTCTACGAACGACTCACGCTTCAGACGTACCTTGCCAACTTGCACGAGAATCAAGATCCCACAGGTGGCTTTCGTGGTGACCGAGCCTTCGCCTCAGCAGCGGACGAAGCAGATTAGGACGAGCAGAATGTGGACAACGCATCCGGAGAAGCCGGACCTCTCCCGTTCTGCTCCGTCAACGTCCCAATGGACGAAGAAAACCCTCGCGAAAGCGCCAACGCCGAAGTCTTCTACCACTTCGCCGACAATGGTTACGTAACACCTGCAACAGTCAACACCAACGAAGCAGAACGGATAGGGCCGAATTTCATACCCGACCCAGAAGCGGGAGATGAAGCAGCTTATCCCGAGGACGCAACTCTTCCCCGCTACTCACAGACCGGACTGCAGATTCTTGGCCTCGTCACCGCAGTCCACGGCAACGCTCTTCCTAAAGAGCCTGCGACGGTTTAGCAGGCTCTGGGGGGGGAACACAGGGAAAAATGGCGTGAAGCCATGGACAGAGAATTAAAGGCGCTGGAGGAACGGAACACCTGGAAAGTCGTTCCCATCAGTGTGGCAAGGAACAAGACCATTCTCACCGGGAAATGGGTCTTCCGCATCAAAACGAAGGCAGACGGCACAATCAAGAAATTCAAAGCACGCTGGGTCGTGCGTGGATTCGATTAGGAGCACGGACGAGACTTCACCGAGACATTCGCCCCGGTCAGCCGACATACCTCACTCCGAATTCTCCTCGCGATCGCCGCTATGAAGAAGAAGAAAATACGGCAAATCGATGTCGCCAACGCGTTCCTCTACGCACCCGTCGACGCGGAAATCTTCGTCGAGCTTCCACACGGTACCCACGGGGAACCTAACCAAGTCTGTCAATTGCTAAAATCGCTCTACGGGATCAAGCAAGCCCCGCGGCTATGGCAATAGTACCTACACGTTCGACTCACTCGCATCGAATTCCGCCAACGGCCTCACGACCAAGGGATGTACCGACTCACAAAAAACGCTGACTACATTCTGCTAATCGTCTACGTAGACGACTTACTCTACATCGGCTCTACTGGCGACATCACCACCTGGTTCGAAGGGGAGCTACAGAAGGACCTCACACTCACGGTCTCCTCTACCGTCACACAGTACCTCGGCTTGAACATTCGGGAGGAAGAAGGCGCGATCTACCTCAACGCCGCTAAGTACGCCGACACCATCGCCAAACGCTTCGCATTCACACCTACCTCCATCTCTACGCCCTACCGCTACACGACAGGAAACCACAATGAAGGGTCCTCTCTACTCAAAACTGCCGGAATACGCGACTACCAGAGAAAGCTGGGCTGCCTTCTCTTCGCAGCCGTCACCTGCCGCCCAGATCTGTCCTACTCTGCAAGTCAACTCGCCACATACCTCAAAAGACCCGAAGCAGAACACCTGGCGGAGCTCGACCGCGCTCTCCACTACTTCGTAAGCACCTCAACGATCGGTCTGACATACTACAAGAACACAACTACACCAACGAAACTAATCGGCTACGTCGACGCCGATCACGCCGGCGACTCAGACAACAGGCGCTTCCGCACTGGCTACATCTACCGCCTCGAACCTATCGGACCTGTCTCCTGGCAATCAAGCAAGCAGGAACTAATCGCTCTCTCGTCAGCTGAAGCAGAATATATCGCATTCTGCTCAGCCACCAAGGAAGGACTCTATTTTCGCGAGCTACAGGAAGAAGCGAAGTTAGCCGAGTTTCCCAACTTCACTCTGTTCTGCGACAACCAATCTGCGATTCGCATCGCCAACAAAAGCGGATTCGCGAACAGAACGAAGCATATCGCTCTGCGATATTTTCGTGAAAGATGAAATCGAGAAGGGGAAACTCGAACTATCCTACTGTCCCACGTCTGAGATGGCAGCTGACTACTTGACCAAGAAGCTCGGAAAACAGAAGTTCGAGTACTGCATGCTGCTGACTGGACAAAGCCACGTCACCATCAGCGACACTCCAGAAGCAAAGGGGAGTGTTGGGAACAAACAGTCGTAAGCGCTTCTATCGTGTCGAAACTCCAAGATACAAGCGAAGCAGCGCAAACCGAAGTACCAGCGAGTCAACCCTCGGAGGTTAATCATGTCTCTTCATATTCTCTGTATTCATATATATATTCTTGTATCTCTTTGCTTTAAACAACTTACTTTGCCCTCACATACCAGCGCAAGGTGGTTCAAGGACTTTACTCAAAAACGCTTCCGCTACCACATCGTTTACTCAGACTTTAACTCTACCAAAAGATCCTAGGGCGTTCAGCCCAACATGGTATGAGAGCAGGTTAGAGTTAAAACTTTCCTTTCTAGTAGAATACAGAGTGATGTAGAGTGCAACTGGAAATGTGAAGGCTGAACCTGTAAAGCATGAATATCGATTCCCCACCACAAATTACTGCATGAGGAACATCTAGCCATCCTACACTGCTGATGTCCTAGTGAGTCGAGACTAGTTAGTTGGGTAAGCAATACGTCCAAGGGGAAACAGGGCATGACACTTAGGCCACTTATATTACAGAAGATAATGAATAATGATATTTTTTAAACACACGAAGTGTTTTTCAAAATTACGTATTTCGAAAGTGCAGCGCAGCTGCCTGTAACGCAGATTTGGCATCGTCGAAGCGCGCTAAACGCCCTTCTCCAACTACAAAACGTGGGTTGGAGCTCATTTCCCTCCACCCACGTCTCTCATTTTCCAACGGCTCATGCAACTCTCCCACCCCCCACCCCGACACCGAGGACATCTGCGACGCCGCTGGAACGGGAGGACAGACAGTTAGTCATATGATTGGTCATATGATTGCATAATTCAGGATAGCTAGTACAATGCTATTGTAGGTAGAATCAGGTCATGTACAAGCATCTATATTGTCTAGCTCGAGGTGCATGTTGTAATTTGCTAGTTGCAATGAGAACGATGCGACGATGCCAAAATGAAGTTTTTTGAAAGTGTGTAACACTTTCTAAAAATGTATATTTCGAAAGCGACGCTGCTTGTAATGCAGCAATGGCAATGGCGAAGTGCTCTACGCTCTTCGCCAACTATATAGCAGGGGGTGGAGGCCATTTGACCTCCACCCACGTCTTCGTTTGAAATTTCAAATGTCTTTTTTCATTCTCGTCCGACGACTTGGCGCTTCCCGTTTTCCTCAGCTTCTCACTTCTCTCATAAAATAGTAGGCATCAACTCAATTGACATGGCACAACGTGTTTCAGAAATAGGCACCCGTCCGCACAATAGGCGCGCTTGTTGGGGCTAATAAAGCGACAACGCCACTGGCGCACGTGGCGACAAAATCGCCACAAGCGCGCGTGGCGACGAAATCGCCACAGGCGCGCGTGGCGACGAAACCGCCACAGGCGCGCGTGGCGAAGCAATCCCCACAGGTGCTCGTGGCGACGAAATCGCCACAGGCGTGTGTGGCGACGAAAACGCCACAGGCGCGCGTGGCGACGAAAACGCCACAGGCGCGCGTGGCGAAATCGCCAGTGGCGCACGTGGTGTAAAAATTGCCAGCGGCGCAAGTGGCGCCAGTGGCGCTCATGGCGCCGAAATGATCAAAATCGCCACTGGCGCACGTGGCTACGACATCGCCAGTGGCGTGCAATAATCAGGGGCTCGTCCAGCGGCAGTCGGCACCAGCAGGTTGGCGAAATCTCCAGAGACAAACTGGCAAGACATATGCTCTTCTGCTGCTGACATTGTCAGCGGATAACTTATTACCTTGCATATTTTTCCACCTTTTCTTCGTACGTATCTTCGATTTTTGTTTGTCTTCGTTTTTCTCTCGTGTTATTTATTACCTCTGATCGCAGTAAATCGGTGCGAGGCAACTACCATAGCTTTGGGTCGCCATGAGAGACCATCGGTGAAGAAAGACTGCGGCAAACAATTGGCACAACCCCATGCGCTCCCGTGCGGTGCTGGCCAGCGAGCTCCCCAGGGGGGAGGAGGACCGGTGGGTCCTGTGCGGTGCTGGCCAGCGAGCTCCCTAGGGGGGAGGAGGACCGGTGGGTCCTGTGCGGTGCTGGCCAGCGAGCTCCCCAGGGGGGAGCAGGACCGGTGGGTCCTGTGCGGTGCTGGCCAGCGAGCTCCCCAGGGGGGAGGAGGACCGGTGGGTCCTGTGCGGTGCTGGCCAGCGAGCTCCCCAGGGGGGAGGAGGACCGGTGGGTCCTGTGCGGTGCTGGCCAGCGAGCTCCCCAGGGGGGAGGAGGACCGGTGGGTCCTGTGCGGTGCTGGCCAGCGAGCTCCCCAGGGGGGAGGAGGACCGGTGGGTCCTGTGCGGTGCTGGCCAGCGAGCTCCCCAGGGGGGAGCAGGACCGGTGGGTCCTGTGCGGTGCTGGCCAGCAAGCTCCCCAGGGGGGAGGAGGACCGGTGGGTCCTGTGCGGTGCTGGCCAGCGAGCTCCCCAGGGGGGAGGAGGACCGGTGGGTCCTGTGCGGTGCTGGCCAGCGAGCTCCCCAGGGGGGAGGAGGACCGGTGGGTCCTATGCGGTGCTGGCCAGCGAGCTCCCCAGTGGGGAGGAGGACCGGTGGGTCCTGTGCGGTGCTGGCCAGCGAGCTCCCCAGGGGGGAGGAGGACCGTTGGGTCCTGTGCGGTGCTGGCCAGCGAGCTCCCCAGGGGGGAGGAGGACCGGTGGGTCCTGTGCGGTGCTGGCCAGCGAGCTCCCCAGGGGGGAGGAGGACCGTTGGGTCCTGTGCGGTGCTGGCCAGCGAGCTCCCCAGGGGGGAGGAGGACCGGTGGGTCCTGTGCGGTGCTGGCCAGCGATCTCCCCAGGGGGGAGGAGGACCGGTGGGTCCTGTGCGGTGCTGGCCAGCGAGCTCCCCAGGGGGGAGGAGGACCGGTGGGCCCTGTGCGGTGCTGGCCAGCGAGCTCCCCAGGGGGGAGGAGGACCGGTGGGTCCCTTTTTGGCTTGTGGGCCATTTGTAGGGTAGATTCATGGTTGTGCAATTTAGTTACACTTCTCACACACCTTAGGCTTTGAAAGCCTTCAATTGCAAGGTCCGGATGTGGTAACACTTGAGTTGGTTGATTGAACAATGTTGTGGTGAGTTTGAAATGGTGCTCAAGTCTAGCAGATAAAAAAAAAAAAAAAAATGCACACACATACAAAGGGCTCAAACGCCGGCAGATTTACCGTATCCGGATACAGATGCATGCACTCTTTGTAATGTGAGCACGGTTGTGACTGCTACAAGGGTTGGGCTCCTACAAGCATCACATCCATCATCACACAAAACACCAATGCCCGTTACCCGAGTCCTCCTACCGTATACTGCTTGCGAGTTTGTGTCCGAAGCTCACATGTCAGCCGACTCTCATAAATCAACATTACTGTGCTACACTCGGGGCAACACTTCATCCAAGGCAACAGCAGAGAATACAGCATCACCATCAACATCGGTGCCAACCTCTCCTTCGTGCTTGATTGGACCTCCACCGACATGTCATCGCATAAGCCACAAACAACCTTTACCATCTCGTTAGAATGACCCCGTCTCATGTCTCAGAAGACCCATTTGAAACGAAGCTCGTTGCCATTGCAAACACAAGAAAGCAAGCTTTCTAAATATGAAGTTTTTTGAAAGTGTGTAACACTTTCTAAAAATTATAAATTTTAAACACACATTGTGTTTTTTAAAATTGTGTATTGCGAAAGCGAAGCTGCTTGTACTGCACAATTGGCATCGTCGAAGCGCGCCAAACGCCCTTCTCCAACTACAAAAACCGTGGGTTGGAGTTCATTTCCCTCCACCCACGCTTCTCGATTTTCCAACGGCTCACTCAACATTTCTGCTCACGTAGTTTATCCCTCCGTCCAAACTGGCTAGAACAAAATCGCTTCCTAGAGGCGAGTCACCTTCGACCTTACTCAACGATATTTTTAACTTCAATCGCTCAACGATGGCACCGACGCCGACACTTAACAACGGGAACTCGTCCAACCCCGCCTCCGACAACGACCGTAACACTCGCGATTTGGCGGGCGAACGCCGTAACAAGCGACGGGCAGAAGATGGACCGCCCGCCCCGACTGCAGTGGACGGCTGCTGGGCGGGCTCGAGGTCAACAACTCGGCCAACGCCAAGCAGCACCCTTCGGCGCCAGTGGCGCTTGAGGTGCCTGTGGCGCTAGTGGCACCTGCGGCGCAAGTGGCGACGGCCGCGGGCGTGGCACACGCCACTGACGCCGAGCACACGCCAGCACCCGCGGCTGGACCGTCGCGTCAGCGCCAGAGGAGGCGGACGGCGGTCTCCTCGTCTGACGCGACGACCGCCCCTGCGTTGACGCAGGCGTTGACCCCGGACCAGGTCAACGCGCTGCTGTCCCTTCTACAGCAGCAGCCCGTCAGCGTTACAGCCGCGGAAACTGCTGTACCCGCTGCATCTGCGTCGGCTAAAAAAGAAAATGCGAAAAAGGAAAAAGGCGCGCGAGGAGCAAGGACCATTCGGCACGACAACGACGCAGCAGCAGCAGCACCCCCCGCTCCAGCGGTCGACAACGACACCGACGACTCTGAAGATGAAGCCGGTGAGGCTCCAGTCAACAATGTTAATTTTAATGGCACGGAACACCTTCCCCCCCTCCCTTCTTCTAACCTCACCTTCTCGGCGGCAACATTCGTCAACGACTCCGTGCGAGAGCAAGCGGAGCTGCTGGAGGACTTACGCGCGTACCTGCTGCACGCGGAATATAAGGCGCAGCGCGGAGACCCAGCGGGCGGACTCGAACTCATCTCGCACGCTCTCAACCTCATCTCGGGGCGTTTCGAGGTGCTTTAAGTGGAGGACGCATCCGACTTCCGCACGGCGAAGCGCTTCAAGTTGTACCAGCAGAAGAGCCTGCTGACTTCTCGACCCTTCAAGCAGGCGGTCGCAGACATGGCGGCAATGGACCGTGCGGCAAGCGGATATGCTCGTGCCAACCGCGGCGGAAACAACGCGCCGTTGCCGTTTTTACCCAAGCGGGGCCCCCCGCCCACGGCCAATTGCCGCGGGTTTCAGGGCTCGTGCTTCCGCTGCGGCCAGCCGGGCCATGTGGCAAGTGCCTGCCCTAGGAACGGGCACGGCGGCCAAGGACCTGCTCCGGTGGTGTAGGAGGGGGCCATGGGAATAGGTGCTTGAGCGCTAGGCACGGTGCACTCTTGAGTGCGAAAACCGTGGGCAACCCTAGGGGTTTGCGATGGCAAGAGGCCAGCCCTATTGAAGGGTAGGAATAGGCTTTGGGCCTAGGATAGGGAAGGGGAGCAACAACCCCCTCGGTCCCATGTAGTTCACCACTCAGTAGCATGATGCATGCTAGGAGAGCATTGCTATGTGTGTTGGTTGATTTGATTTAAAAAAAAAAAAAAAAAAAAAAACCTTCTTAAAAGCCTACTGTTTTGGCAAAGAGACTCTGAAACAATCAAGAGGAGGATCAGAAAGAGAGAGAGAGAGTGTGTGTGTGTGTGAGAGAGAGCGAGAGAGAGAGAGAGAGAGAGAGAGAGAAAGAAAGAGAGAAAGAGAAAGAACGAGATACAACATGGTGGGCACGCATGTCCATGATTCCACGCACCAGCCCCCACGAACTATGAGTAAGAGAGAGCATGAAAGAGAGAGGGAGAGGGAGAGAGCAAGAGAGAGAGAGAGAGAGAGAGAGAGAGAGAGAGAGGGAGAGAGATGGAGAGAGAGAGAGAGAGAAAGAGAGAGAGAGAACAAGAGAGAATAAGAGAAACACAATGGACAAGTGTGTCCATGGCCATAGGCATCATCTCCCATGCACTAAGGGCAGGCACAACCACATCCTACCGAGTGCACGATGGGCAAAAAAAAAAAAAAAAAAAAAAGCGGAGGAAACAAGGAGAAGAAGAAGCGTCGTTTCGCGCCCGACACATTCGTTGACATTTCCGTCGGTTTTTATTTTCTTCACACATTTGATCAATGGTTTCCCGTACATGTACATGCACACACATGCTTTAACATGGAATACTCAACCCGTATACCACTTGGCCTCCCATGCACAGGAGCACGACGGTGCGAGGCGGCAGGCTACGATGACCCGTACGAATTTGCCGTTACAGACAGAACTATTACACAGATGCGCGGTCGTCTTCGCGCGACCTTTGCGTGGTGGAGCTCATGGTGCCCCAGCAGCCTCGTTCTCTCCGTCATCGCCAAGGGTTACTGGTTGCCATGGAGCCACGGCCCACCACAACCTTTCCACGATCGCAATCATGTCGGGGCGAACACGCATGCCACGTTCACACGTACCGCCATCCAAGAACTCATAGAGACGGGAGCGGCAGTTCCGATGGCCGCAACGGAGCTCAAGTGCATAAGTCCACTTAACGTGGTCGAGCAAAAAGACAAATGCAGGCTCATTCTTGATATGAGAAAGGTCAACGCCAACTTGATTGTCCCCAAGTTCAAGTACGAGGGGCTCAGCCGTGTCGCCGACCTGGCGCGCGTTGGGGACTGGATGTTCTCCATTGACCTCAAATCTGGTTACCATCACATCGACATCCACCCATCGTGCTGGAAGTTCCTTGGCTTCGAATTCGATAGGCGCACATACGCATTTCGTTCACTACCATTCGGCCTCGCGATGGCTCCATTCGTCTTTACACAGCTCATCAAGCAGCTAGCTCGGCGTTGGCGAGAACAAGGCATCCGAGTCGTACCTTACGTGGATGACATCTTATTTCTCTGCCAGTCGAAAGCCGATGCACAAGCATTCTGCTAGCAGGTGATATTGGACCTCAAAGAGGCAGGCCTTGTGATAAACACGAAGAAATCACAACTGTCACCATCGCAACATCTCCGATTCCTGGGCGTAGAACTGGAGACCGACACCGGCCGATTCTCCATCGGTCCCGACCGACGAGCCTCACTACATGCAACCATCCAGAACCTCCTGAGCGCAAGCAGGGCATGCCGACCAGTCCCGGTCCGCCACGTGGCCAGAATCACTGGCATGCTTGCATCGATGGGTGCCGCACTTGGCGCGACCGCTCGCGCATTCAGCCACGCTATGTTGCAAGTGATCAACGAAGCATTGTCTTGGAAAAGCAGCGTGGTTATCCCCCCATCTGCAGCAGAGGAGCTCCAATTTTGGCTCGAGGAGTTTGACCGTTTCAACGGCGCACCTTTTCACGCCAGGAACAGCTACGACGCAGTAATCCATGTTGATGCCAGCTCTCATGGTTGGGGCGCCACTCTGACCACATTTCCGGGCGGCCTCGAAGAAGCCAGCGCAACCATGTCAGAGCCGCTACGATGAACGTCCAGCACGCGACGGGAGATTGAAGGCGTCCTTTGGGCGCTCCAAACATACGCGACCAAGATCAAGCAAAAACACGTTCTCGTGCTGGTGGACAACCAGGGCGTGTTCTTCATCCTTCGAAAAGGCGGCTCTCACAGCCCTGACCTCGCAACGGCATGCAAGAGCATCATCCGAACATGCATGGAGCTTGGCACGCGCTTGATCATCGAATGGATTCCGCGCGAGCTCAATACACACGCCGACGAACTTTCAAAAATGGTTGACCATGACGATTACGCGCTGAAAACGCCGTGGTTCCGCATCTTGGAACGTCGTTGGGGGCCCCACTCAATCGACCTCTTCGCAAACTCCCGCAACACCCAACTGCCGCGCTTCTGCACAAAGATTCTCCACCCAGAAGCCATCGCAGTTGATGCGTTCTCGATCGCGTGGACACCCGAAAACAACTTCGCCTTCCCCCTGCCCCAACTGGTCCCGGCCGTCCTCCATCACGCACAACGCACCCATGCATCACTCACACCGATAGTTCCGCACTGGCCAGGCGCAAGCTGGTGGCCACTTTTGCAACCCTCCCCATGCACTTGGGCTCCACACATCCACGCGGACATCCCTCTGACACACGGAAGCCAATGCCTAGACGCAGGATCCCATTCCAATGCTTTTTCAGGCATGGGACTACCGCACAGCCCAATTATTGCACTGAGAATGGCATCTGACTAATTCAAAACATCAACGCCCTGTGTTCAAATTTGCTCCCAAAGTTACACGACCAAATGATCAACATGCTCGCGCAATCTCGCGCCGATTCTACGATCCGGACATACGAACCATACTAGGCCAAGTTTCGAGCCTTCTGCACAAAAGTGAACCTCCCATTTCTTCCGGCATCCGACATGACCCTCGCGCTCTATCTGGTACACGCAATCGGACGCAAAGCCACCCTGTCCGTAGTGCAGCTGACGTGCTCGGCGGTCAGCTTCGCTCATCGCATGACTGGGAGCAAATGCCCGACAACCGGACCGTTCACCACCCAAGTCCGTGACTGTGCAAAACGACACTGCCCTCGCCCTA